TTTCTTTTCCAATTTCTTTCACCCCGATGTCTGAGCCTCCAAGACCTACCCACGACAGGCTGGAATCATCTGCCTCCATCTCATCCAGAAAATTGAGCACAACCAACACAGGGCCCTCTATACCTTATGAAGTTTCTGCAATTTTTAAAGAGTTCTTTGGATTTTAAAATCATTCTAGCATTTGGGTTTATGTTGGTATAGCCATTTTACTTGTGTTTGGGTATATTGTTTGAAATGCTTTTTTTTTTTTGAGGATTTTTAGCTCGACACCCTTTTCGAGTTTTGGAAAGGAAAATCTTGGTCAAGATTGGGTTGAGCCCTCATTGCACTATGGATGGCAAAATGGTTCGATCGGCTCGGGCCAGAAAGAGTCTGAGTCGGACAAACTCGTGGCTCAGTGGAACCAAGCTGAAGCTCTGGTCGAGCCCCATTTTGGGGCGTCGGTTGAGTCGGGCCGGCCCTGCCCGTGAGCCTAAAATATTTTTAAAAAAAACTTTGCCTACCTTTTTTTTTTAAATTTTTTTAATTTTAATTTTAGCTGTAATTTTTTTATATGTTAATATTTAATTATTATTTATAATACGTATAAATTGCACAAATTTTAAATTTTTAAAAAAAAATTAGATTTGTCACGAATTTAAAAAAAAAAAAATCGAGCTAGCTGTGGCCCGGCCCGACACGACCTGGCTCGCTAATACCCGAACTGAAAGCTCGGGTTGAGCCTAAATTTTTTGGCCGACCTTTTGCTCGGTTTGAGCCAAAAAAGCTCGAACTATTTTTACTCGAGTCAAGCCCGAGCAAAAAGGTTCGGCTTGCGGCTCAACTCATTGACACCCTTAATTGCAAGAACATTGCAGCATCATGGAGCAGAACGAGTTTTTGATGCCTTCCGTTTATTGCAAATAGAACCTTCGAAATGAATGGATGATTGAAAAAGGTGAGCATTTCAGGTGGGCTTAAATTGTCTTAGAAATCTTTATTTTTCTTCGTGGAACTTCTGTATTTAAACTTCTCAGATGCTTATAATTGTGATTTTGCGAATCATTTAATATTAGATGTGAACAAATTTTGATCCATTTTATGATTACGGGTACCGTTCATTCCCTTTATCCACACCTTTCTCTGTTGATTTGGATTTTTCCATGTATCTGAAAATAGAAATTGGATTGTTAGACATTTTTGTCAGTGCTCATATGGATTATTCATTTATAGAATTTTGCATCCAATTAATCAAGGGCAAAGGTAATCTATTTTAATACCCTCTGAAATTCTTAATGTCTGCTTGAATCAGTTGATAAAAAACTAAATTGCATTCGATAACAGAAGCAGTTGATTGTTGCATTATAGAAATAGAGTAAGAACCATATGTAGTTCATACTTGTGCCAATTTTTCTGGGATCCCAAAACTTTGTCATTAATTATCTTTAACAAGGCCTCATGAAGCTGTAATATGACAAAGTAAATGTTATGAAAATAGAAAAATATAGCAATGGAGAAGAAACAAAGAAGAAGAAAATGATGAATATAAATCCAAAAAAGGCTTGAACACGAAGATAAAATTGTGTCATCAAATGATATTTGCCTCCTCTATGATGCTTTCAAGGATTAAAGTGAATGTTCAATAGAACAAGTGAAAAAAGAAAAAAATTGAATGTTCACGATGTGGTTCCAAGCTCAAATCAAAATGTGCAATGCTTCATCAAACAACCACCAGAAAGTTCCAAAAAAAAAAAAGACTCAGCCAGCGATCATATTTTTATAACTATGCAACCGCATAGGACCTTGGCTACCTCTAAATTCCCTACAGCCTTCTATGCGATCGCAAGCCTAAATGGCTTATGCGATCGCATAGATCATTTAGGGCATGTTTTGTTTTTTCTTTTTTTCTTATTTCATTCTTCATCCACTTATTTGATTTTGAATAACAAGATTCCAATAGTAGACAATCAAAATTGAGGGGCACATTGTTTAATTGCAGGAAACTGGGTTTGCACAGTTTTGCATCAAGGAAGTTCTCAATGACATTTTCGAAATCTTCCTTGTATTCACTGCAACTGAATTTCTTTGGATGTCTATTTTAGTTTGGGTCCGGCATCTACACGTTTTCCATTGCATAACTAGAATCATAATTGTACATATCAATTAGGTTTTCATTTCTCTTTCTTTTTCTGGATTACATTTTTTGTTTTTTTTTTGTTTTTAAGGTATGAATTATGGGGATATTGTGTGGAGGAGTGAGAAACCAAAGATGGAATCTACTGAGTCTGATGTTGTAGAAATTACCCTGGCATGGCATGGCATGGCATGGCATGGCAAGCGTTACATTCGGGTACATTCTTAGAACCTGCCTGGTGGAGATTTTTTGCATGATTTTAAGCATTTTTATGACCGTTGCTTTGTCCTTCAGCTGCAACAATTGACTTAGTGTGAGGGATGTGGGGGCCACCAATTGAAAAAAACGATCATATTCTTGCTGAAAATCTGATGAAAATCACAAACAAACACACTCTTATTATAAACAAATTAGGGGTGCGTTTGAGTCACTTTATTTTGGAATAGTAGATTAAGGGAGAACGTGTGGTTGAAAAAGAAGGAAAAGTTATTGATGTGATGTAAAATATTATTTTATTGAAAAATGTGTGGTTGAAAATGAGTAAAAGAATAAGAATAAAAATTTAATGTGTAATTATCTTTCTTTTTTGGTTCAATATTTCATAAAATATAATGGAGGAAGATATCTTCTCTATTGGACAATCATTTAAGTTAATTTGAGCATGGGACATTCTCTATTTATCTTTTTGAGTCAAAATTTGCCTTTAGTGATGTCTCTTGAATTCCGATTAGTTTAGAATTGGTGAGTATGTA